TCTGATGGTAATATTATAATATTAAACATGAGGTTTTCACGTTGGATTTTCTCATTTGTGTAAAAATAGAATATTTTTATATTTAAGTTCTGTACTTTGTGCCTAGAAACATTTTGAATGACTTTAAGATAAAATTCGTTGAGTGTTTACTATGTTATAAATACTTAAAATATTGAATCTCATTTAATCACCACCCCAGCCTTTGTGCCAGATGATGATACAACTCTGTTTTTAAGGTAGCAGAAATTAGAACTTAAAATGTGTGCCTATTGTCATATAGTAAGTACCCGGGACAGCTAAAATTCCAACCCATGTGCATGTTGGCAGATTCATGTTCTTAATTGGGTTAAACTAAAGAGAATGTGTATATAAAGATGTTGACTTTTAATACAACTGGTTATAAGAATTGAAGTTTGGTGTTTGAAAATATCTAAAGAATAATCATTTCTAAATTATAAATTTAATTACTTTTTGTTTGGAGTCATCAAGGAAAACATACTGTAGAATTTTCATTTCATTTTTTCGTGAACTATTAACATGATTTTAGAATCTATGGTGGGAAAAACTTCAAAATTTACATTTTAAGTTGCCATTAATAGTTCTTAATACCTGTGATAATTTTACCTGAAGCTCAATTGGAAAGTAAATTTTAAAAATAATTTTATTAAGTTCTCTAATTAAAATAAAAAAGCTAGGCACACTACTACAAATCCACTACTATTGATTCAATTCCAATTTACTACATTATAATTGTCTAAGTTCCAAATTAGATGACACTTTCTTTGAGGGTAGAGAAATATTTACTTTATTTCTTATACTTATCAGTTTCCAGCATACATTGAAAACCAGAACGCACTGCCATTAAGTCAATTCCTAATTCTAACTCACAGTGACCCTCTATTGGGTTTATGAGGCTTTGAATCTATGGGAACAGATTGTTCTCCTCTGTAGTGTCTCATGGGTTTGAACTGTCAACCTTGGGTATAACAGTCCAGTGCTTACTTACCTGACAGTACAACTTTTAAATTAACTTAATTTAAATGAAATTAATATTTAAAATATTTTATGGCATTGTCGAAAATAAGAGAATGGGTGTGGAATGTACTCTGACAAATTTCTCAAGTTGTATTGGCCTCAAGAAAATGACTAAATCCATTGTTTGATGCCCTCAGACAAAAGCCATCAGGACATACTTGTACTTGAACAAATTGATTTACTATTTGTTCCAGGCTGGGAAAATACATACCATGGGGAAACACACACGGGGACCAGCAGTAAGAGGCCGTTACAGAAACCCTAATGCAGAATTAGAGTCTTAATTGTACTACTCTGAGAGGTACTATTTAAGAAAGTGGGTGAACCTCACTTTGGATTGAATTCTTTCAGAAAGTGGGGCGAATGCTGTGGCTGAGTTTCTCAGATACATCTGTCAATACAGAAAACAAGCATCCTAGATGGCGCCAGTGGTTTTCAATAACCAACCGAAAGGTTGGAGGTTCAGTTCCAATGACTGGTGCTGTGAAAGACCGTCCTGAGGATCTCTTTCCAAAAGACCAGTCATTACTATTGAAAGCCTAAGGGAGTGCAGTTCTATTCTGAAACACATGAATTGAATCTACTTAAGGCTACTGGTTTGGTTTTTGATTTATAGACAGGCCAAATATAGGGAGTTGATAAAACTGTAATTGGTAAAGAAACGGCAGACATTTAGTGGAAGAAGGGACTGTTTGGTGTTTTTACTTACTGTACTGACTCATGCGCTCACTGCCATCGCGTCGATGCCAACTCATAGTGACCCTAAAGGACAGGCTAGAGCTGCCCCTTTGTTTCCGAGACAGCAAACTGTTTACCGGAGTAGAATGCCCAGTCTTTCTCCTGTTGACTGGCTGCCTGGTGGTTTCAAAGTGCTGGCGTTGCTGATTGCAGCTGAACTTGTAACCACTACGCCAACAGATGTCCTGTGCATATTATAGAGTGACTTTATTTGGTATAAATTATCTGTGAGATTTTATAGTCAACAGAAGAATAGCATTGCCTGGCTCTAAATGTTGAAACCGTTAATCACAACGTTGAAGCTCAGCTGGCAGTGTAAGATAAAAATCCATCATATTGGCGGCTGCTTTTTATTTTCCCTATCAAGTCAAACAAAGAGCAAATCAATAAATTAAGTCTGATCACTTTTTCTCTTCCTGTTTGGAATCTTACCTTCTCATCACTGGAAATGGTAATGGTAAGTGACTAATCACTGGGCATTGCTTGATAATATGAATTCAAAACCAAAATTCCAAACTCCCTGCCATTGAGTCCAGTCTGACTCGTAGTGACTCTGTAGGACAGAGTAGAGCTAGCTGCTCCTGTACATTTCTGAGACTGTAACTCTTTATGGAGGGGAAAAAGCCAAGTCTTTTCTCCCTTGGAGTTGCTGGTGGGTACAAACTCCTGACCTTGTGGTTAGCAGGTTAGCAGCCCAATACGTAACCACTGTGCCACCCAGGCTTATAAATAAAGTCTTCAGCAATATATTTAATCGGTGAAAGAGTACAACACAATGGTAATTATAAAATAGCAGAGTAATAATGAAAATATGGTACGTCAGTATAGGAGATGCAGCTAACACAGTGCTTAGAGGGAAATTTATAGCTCTAACATGCACATATTAAAGGAAAATTAGAAATTTATGATTAAGCTTGAAACAAAGGACAAAATAGTAGTTTTAACTTTTAAAAAACAAAATTAAGTAATACAGAAAAGTAATACAAACGAAATAATAAATATTAAAATAGAAAACATGTAAAACAATTATCAAAGACAAGTAGTTCGTTTTTTAAAAAATTTTAGATAGTGGCACTTAATCTGAATACCACATAATTCATTATTTAATCCCATCACGAAGGTTTGTACAATCATTACTACGAGCCATTTTTGAACATTTCCCTCCACCCCACAGTTCATTTTTTGAAGAAACAAAGTGGAGAAAAGTCTTAAGACCGATTAAAAAATGAGAACACAAAAACGTATATTTTTTACCTCATTTTAATTGTACAGTTCATTGCTACATTCAGTGTTTTGCAGGTATCATCTCAGTCCATTTTAGAACTCCTTTATTACCTTATAAAGAGTGCTGTCCATCTCCCTTTCCCCATCTCTAGATAGTCTCTAATTAATTTCTCACTCTGGGCTGGCTAATTCTGTCTATTTTCTATAGTTGTTGTTAGGTTAATTACAGCTTCTGGTGACCTCATACGTAATAGAATCACTTGGTCAACTTTGCATTCGTTGCTATGTTTGAGCCCATTGTTTGCAGTCATGATTTTAATCCATCTTAGTGAGTCAGTGTGTGTCCCCTGACCCTCCACACACTTAACCATGCATGATGAGTCCTTGTGCAGGTGCCGGCCTCTGTAACACGTCCAAAGTGCAAGAGATTGTGCAGGAGACAAAGTATTGCTCTTTCTAAGGGACATTCTGGGCCTCTTTTTTTTTAAGGCAGATTTGTTCTTTTGGCAGTCCACGGTATATTTAATATTGTTTGTAATAATTCAAATATACTAGTTTTTCTTCAAGCTCCACTATCCATTTTTCATATGTGTGTGAGACATATGAAAATACCATGGTTTTTAGGTGAACCTTAGTCCTCAAAATGGCATCTGTGCTTTTAAAAAGCACTTCATAAAGAGATCTTCTGATTGAATCTTTAAATACGTGCTTTTAATTGGTTCCTTTCACATAGCAAAATGATTTCAGAGTGTATGTATCCATGTTGTAGCATTATCAGTATTCTTATGGCCTAATGATATTCCATGTTGTCCATCTTGCCACCCACCCCATTCCCCAGCTCTGTTCCACAAAGTAAGACATAGCTGGGGGACCTTTCTTGAGCTGAGATAGTGTAAAAGGAAGGCGCAATTACCACTCATTTATTTGAGAAAGTTTCTCGGTCATTCACAGACCCAAAAATAACTTACCGAGTCATACCAAATAACTCACAAAGCACAAAATAACGTTTGCATATAGGGCTCACGGGCACACTTCAGAGTCACGCAGCAATGTGTGCAGTGTGATTCTCCGGGTAGGAGCTTGGCAGCCCTACTCTAGGTACTTGGGGATGGGGTATGTGCTGCCTCAGCAACAGCTCCCTGTAAAACAGGCCGTGAATACCAGTTCGTTTGTTTCGTGAGGTGTGTGTTCTCATAAAAATGAAATCACGTAGAGTGACCTTTAAAAACGTATGATACCTATATACCACTTTTAAAAACTACTCATCAGTTGATGAACATTGGATTGCTTTTACTTTTTGCTGTCCAGAATAATGCTTCCATGAATTTTTATGGACATATGTTAGTTTTCTTGGGCCTATGTGAGAGGACTTCAAAAATTTTGTGCAAAAATTTTCCTAAGCACTCTGTAAGCCTCCTTGTATAACAAAGGAATTAAATCACTGGGTCATGTGGCAACATAATATTGAACCATGAGGAGGAGCTGCAGGAGTGTTTTCCAAAGCAGCTGTACCATTTTATAATCCTACCATCATTAAGCAAGGATTGCAATTTTTCCACATCCTGGTCTGCACTTGCTATTCTTTTTGGTTATAGCCATCTTAGTGTGTGTGTGAAGTGTTAGCTCATTGTCAAACAAATTATTAACCATTTATTTTTTAAGTGTTTATGTAGCTACCCAGGACTGGTTTCTATTAGCAGGTAACATGAAAACTAGTGCCCTCTGTCTTCATTCTTTTTTTTTTTCTTTTCTTTGTAGGGGAGAACGCGAACGCAGTTCTTATAACTGACTTTTTACTCTCAATTATTCCCATTTATTAATTTTGTATTATATATGTCTAATAAATAGGAAAACTAACTCAGCAAGGATTATTAAGATGATTTCTATATACCATTATCTCAAAATTAAGTGGTGTTTGTTTGTAAGATTAAATTACAGTAAGTATTATCAAGTGGCTTCTGTTTCAATTATTAAACATTTTCTTTTTTTCCTCTCTTTTAAAGATTCAAAATGGATAGTATAGAAGAACCACAGAAAAAGATATTTAAGGCTCGAAAAACCATGAGAGCAAGTGATCGTCAACAACTTGAAGTAGTGTACAAAGCAAAAGATGATTTGTTGAAGACTGATGTCAAGCTGTTAAATGGTAGTCATGAAAATGGAGATTTGGACCCATCTTTGGAAAATATAGATTATATTAAAGACAAAGAAGAGATGAATGGCATTGAAGAACTTTATTTTGATTCAGAAGAAAGTAAAACAGAATGGAAAGAAACACCCTGTATCCTAAATACTAATGTCAAAAGCAAGCAGAATGATGATTTAAGTAGTGAACTTTCATTTTCTAAGAATACAACTCCTGAGCCAGCCTATCAACAGACTTCTGAACCACCTTCTGGTGTTCTGGCTTCAAGTGATCTGGCCTCTAGAGATTCAGCCTCTAGAGTACTGGCCCTTGCTGATCCTCCCTCTAGTGAAACCCCCTCCAGTGATCATACCTCTGGAGATCCCACCTCTGGTGAACGGGCTCCCATTGAACCTGCCTCTGATGAACTCATCTCTGGTGAACCCACGTCTGGTGAATCTGCCTCTGGTCAACCTGCCTCTAGTTCTGCTGAGCCTGCCTCTGGTGAATTCTCCTCTGATGACGTCTCCTCTGATGAACCTGCCTCTAGTGAACCCACCTCGGGTCAACCTACCTCTGGTGAACTCGCTTCTGGTGAACCTGTTTCTGGCGAACCCCTCTCTGATGGAACCACGTTTGGTAATCTGGCCTCTAGTGAATTGCCTTCTGGGGATCTGACCTCCGGAGCACCGTCTGCAGTTGAACAGAACTCTGATGAACCGGCCTCTGATGAGTCGGCTTCTAGTGAAACACCCTCTGGTGAAACCTCTGGTGAACAGCCCTCTGTAACATTGGCCTCTGATGATCAACCAGCCTTTGAAGCAAGTTCTCCATCAGTTTGTGAAGCAGTTCCTGAAACTACACAGCTTACTAGCAATAAAGACGAAGCTTTTCTCAACCAAAAAAGGGATGATGAAAAGTTAGACCAAATTCAGAGTAAGGACTCATTTGAAGAGGAAAAGAAAAGTGATAGTAAAATGGATGCTATTGAAGACAGTTTAGAGACAGATGAAACGATTTGTTCAGACCTACTTCCTGAAGATGTAAAGAAGGAAGAGGAAGATAGTATGTCAGAGCTTGCCCTTGGAGAGGAGGCTATATCTAGTAGTATGGAAATTGAGCAAGCAGAAAAGAATGAAGACGAAAATTCCTTAGACCGCACAGAAACCATTAGGGAAAATGTTATGGAAACTGACAAAAATGAGAATCTACTAGAAAACACAGATTCCATGGAGACAGACGAAATTATTCCTATTTTGGAAAAGCTTGCACCTGCTGAAGATGAACTTACTTGCTTCTCTAAAACTTCTCTCCTTCCAATTGATGAGACAAATCCAGACTTGGAAGAGAAAATGGAAGGGTCTTTTGGTTCACCATCTAAACAAGAAAGTAGTGAGAGTTTGCCAAAAGAAGCCTTTCTGGTCCTCTCTGATGAAGAGGACATTTCAGGTGAAAAAGATGAGTCTGAAGTTGTATCGCACACTGAGACATGCTCTCCAGGTTAGCAAGTTATTTAAATTTTAAAGATTTTGATAGGTAGCAAAATACTTTCCAAAAAATTAAGTTTTACATTTCTTTAAGTCTCACAGATAAAACTTGAAAATGGTGGTAGCTAGAAGGATCCCTTAACTTCACAGAATTTAAGTTATAAAACACCCACTCTGTGTGCAGCATAGTGCTGAGTGACAAGAGAGGGGATGTGAAAAATGGAAATTGCTTTTAAGGTTCATACCTGGAAGGGATTTATAATCTAGAAATAAAGATGAGATGGGCAAACAACATTATTAGATAATTCCAAGTTAGTTCATAATGATTAAAATCATAGCAATTAATTTTTCTTGCTATCACTTAGCAACCAAATAATTTAGCATCTAAAAGCTGCAGGATTTAATTGCTGCCAGTTTAGTGAATCTTACTTCCAATTAATCTTTCCAATGAAATATGATTTTTTTTAACTATCCTTTACGCAGGTAATGGCACCACTATTGCACAAAAAATAGAAACTGAGATTAGATGATCTATTCTGAATGATCTTCCTTTAATCCAAATTTTAAATTTTTTATGGTCTCTGTCCCTTTAATTGAATTTCCATTACTTTTACATGAAGGAAGGAGCAAAAGAATGATAGGATGAAATTTACAGTTTAGAAAAATAACGTGCATAGAGGTTTAAGGAAAACATACTTTTTCAAAACGATTTATGTGGAGGGTGGCATTGGGACCAGACCTTTAAAAAGTAAGGATAGCATTGGAAATTGCAGTTTATGCAGCTATTTAATAATGACTTTAAAAAATGAATAAATAAAATGACTTTATAGATTTTACTTGTGTCAGAATCTTGATATTGAAAACCATCTGGAAAAAAATACTATTAATATAGAGATGAATATTAATTTTTGATTACTTGCATTCCATTTTTTATCTCATGGTTATGCTATTTGCAGGGTAAATTTAGTGATAGATTTAATTCCTTAGTTTGGTAGCTCTATTTTTATGTGTGTATCTTTTACCGTACTTCTTGGAAGAAATTGTAGGTTTAAGTGGTTTCATTTTTGATTCATGGACTATAGTCTTTAATTTTTTATATGGCAACAGAATCTGTTGCTTGTCATTTGTATTGCTGTGAGCCTCTTGAGGGGATCAGCTTTTTGTTCTTGATGAATTTTTAATGTCTCAGAATACAGAATTACAAATTGAAGTATAGAAGTCCAGCTATTAACACTCCTAATATTTAGGTGCTATAGTAGTAATAGAAAAACATCATAAACCGTCTATCATTTCAGGCACTTATTTAGCACGTTTTCTAAATTTACCCGTTAGTTATTGGTATGCGCAGCCCCCTCCCACAAAAGGAAAAGAGCTATCAGAAAGAAATAAGAAAAGCTATTCTTATTTTACAAATATAGGAGACCTAAAAACTATTGCAGACAATACCTTCAGGAGGTACTGTTGTGTTCGATAGTATTGCATAATAACTGCTGCTCACTGCTTTCTTAGAAGCCTTGGGGAATAAAAACAAAACACAAACTTGCTCTAGGGGGAAAAAAAATCAAGTAACAGTAAACCACAAACCAAGTTCACTGTCACCTAGTGAACTGACTCTTAGCAATCCAATAACTGTTGATAGGAGTAGAAAGCCCCATCTGTCTCCTCAGGAGATTCTGGTAGCTTCAAACTGCTGACCATGTGGATCACTCAGCCCAGTGCATAACCACTCCCTCATCAGGGCTCCATGAATTAATCATAGAGTTTGTTAATTTTTCAACCAATAGGATTTTGATTTTGGATTTGATCAGGTAATAATTGATTTCTATTCTGTTGAATCTACAGGCATTTTCCCTAAATTATTAGATGACCTTAATTACAGTCTGAATTGACAGTGGCAATGGGGTTGGGTTTTGTTTTACTTTTGATACCTTTTATCTCAAGCTACCTAATTATGTTGTGTTTGTGAAACATCTGTAGGGCCTAGGAAGCTCAGAGGTTAGCAACTCAATGAATATTAAAATCAGAAGCATTTGAAAAATTATGTATAGGAAGAAATGCTTCAGAAACACATGTCTGATTTTCCAGAAAGTTTAAAAAAATTATGTCAATTTTATTGATTCTGTTGTTGAAGGATGAGATCTCAAAACATTACTATCTGAACAAAGGGTGATAAGTGGAAATTTTTATAGTATTATTTTAAAATGAAAAAGATTAATAATAAGCCCATCTATCCAATAGGCTTTATTTAATACATATTTGTAAAAACCTCTATATTAATCAAGGATCCTATTTTCCATGCTAGATTTCATCTAAAAAGATTTTTAAATGATTTCAACTTTGGCTTCTGCCATCAAGGCCATTGTGATAAAAACTCTAGTTTTTGGAGAGTGGTGCATGTATTTATGTAATACTATATGTCTTGTAATTGCTTATTTAGTATTAGTTTTGGGTTATGATTATGCAGCATGGATTTTTGAAGTCACTGGGGAGCAAACTGTAGTGATATAAGGAGGAAAGAGAAACCCAAGTGCTTTAGTGATTTATTATAAATTAACCCACCACCCCCCAAACTATTAAGTTAGTTGAGATAGAGAGTGATTTTATAAAGGCCATTTCTAGTATCTGGAATTTTGTTTGTAACAATGTAGCTTTGATGAAGTTGGAGTTTTACTTTTTCATAGCTCTCTTCATTAATATATTTAATACTACTCTATTTCCTACATTATCATTTTATGACTGCCTAAAGATGAGGCACTTTGGTTTGGTAGAAAAAAATGTGGATTTAATATCTGGATCTCTTTCCTAACTAGATAGTCACCCTGTGAAATTACTTAACCTTTCTGAACATTAGTTTCCTCAAGCATATTACAGTAAAAGTTACTGTTCTCCCACTGCATGACAATAACCAGGATAAGAAGTATATGTGTTAAACACCTAATTTAGTTGTCGGCACTAGCATTAAAGTAGCAATTATTTTTTAAGTGAAACTTAGTGCTTTTAGGATTGCTTTTGTGCGTGTGTTTGTTAATTTTTTTATTCGTTTTATACAACTCTTATCACAATCCATACATGCATCAATTGTGTAAAGCACATTTGTACATTCATTGCCCTCATCATTCTCAAAACATCCGCTCTCCACCCAAGCCCCTGGCACCAGGTCCTCATTTTTTGCCAGGATTGCTTTCCCATTCTTTTTATGAACTAACCTTCAGCTAGCCAGGAGTCAGGGATACAACCTGTCTTATCAACACGTTGGATGTTGTGCGTTTTCAATGATTTGTAATTTTTTTAGTCGTTACAATCACTACTTTATTCCTTAATACATGAATGTAAAGGAATCTAAGTGCTTTATAGTAGTACTTTTTAACATTTTGTTAGTCTTGTGACAGTAAATTACTGAGATTTTTTATTTTAAAATCTATAGTTGTGATTGTTTCCAATGTTAAAAGGTTTACTTTGAGTTTGTAGAAACAATTAGAAAGTAGACTTGGCCATTCATTTCTATTAGTTGATCCTCATTACTCTGAAAGTGTTGTAAGGATGCTGATTTCCTACGATTATGAACTGACTCATTACCAAAACCGTCAATTTGGCATACGTTCCAATGGAAGTCAGATTTCATTTGCTATTTCTGTTACACTCAGAAGTAGACAACACTGAGAAGGACAGCAAACTGGAGGACGACGAGCAAGCAACGCCTGGAGAAGATGAAAGGCCTTTGGAGAAAAGTATGTACAGTAAAATCTAACTGGATAAGTATGACAATTTCACCGTTTCTAGTTTCAAGGTCATGGATTATTATTTCTGTTCATGAGGTAATTATAAAACTTTGCAGTTCAAGTAAAGCCACAACTAACTCATTATGCTGATAGCTAACCCAAGGATCTTTGAAATATTAATTACCTTATATACCTTAGTGTTCCCAAAGAAATAGTTAAGATTAATATTTAGTAGATTACTGATTATCTTTAACGAAATTGTATAGCTTTACATTTAGAGCCCTGGGGTTATAAGATTTTTGTCTGGACTGCTATGTGTTTCAGTCTACTTTGGATCTGAAGCTTCACAGAAGAGTAAAGGATGGGGCTGAGCATTGTTAGGTTTATTGACGAGATCACTGCAATAGAAACATGGAAACCGGGAATCTGTTGCTCTTCCTACCATGTTACTCTTCTGTGTTCCATGGGTAAATGATGTGAGTATAAGAGAAGTTAAAGAGTAGATCTGGATTTTAAAATAGGCAGATACGATTCTAGGGTAAGTTAAAAATATATATATTCCTAGGATTTCAGTTCATATATGTCTACTCCAAACAAGATATCTAAGTATGTCTCTGGGATCACTGGTTGGCTACTGACAAGTTATCTCATAATACACTTACTTGACTTTTATATCATTTGAGTGCCTTAAAAATTTTTTTCTTTTTAAGTTCAATCAAAACAGTCATTTTCAAGGGGATCTTGCTGGGCCAGTTCCTAATTATGAGAGAGGTAGGCTCAGAAAGTCATGGGAATATCTTATGCACTTCAAAGGAGGTAATCTTGATAGTAGATTTTCTCAAAGGACATAGGATAATCATGGGAACTTATTAGAAAGTAGGGTTTTTAAAGAGAGCAGTTTTTTGTGTTTTAAAGAAAATTGAAAACTGCACTAATAAGAAGAAGCCAGAAAAGATGCTCCGAGGAGTATTTTTTCATCGTGACAATACATCCATGCCACGGCAGTCTGCCTCCACATTCCCTGAGGGTTGGAAAGGACATCCTAGGAGAATTTTGTTTGAAAACCCTACCCCATCCAACCTATAGCCCTGTTCTTGTCCTGTGAGAAATTTCTTTTTGTTCCCCCAAATCAAAGGCCATCAGATCGATCCGAGTCCCTATAAGGTGCCAAAGTTGCCATTTTGACATGAAGCAGATCTGAGATCGTAGAATTCTCCGAGGAAGGTTTGAGAAATGGGAACATGTCCTGCTCCAGCATATGGTGCGGGAACAACACCATCACATTGTGATATTTTTCTTTAATAAAAGTTTCTATGATTTTATAGCAGCATTTTTTTAACTTCATTTAGGGGAATATGAAGTTAATTTTTCACTTCATATAGAAATTTTTAACTTCATATAGGAATATGAAGTGAGATACGAGAGAGAGGGATACATAACCAGGTATAGATATTTACCTTTTTAAAAATCTGTAGGTTTTAATGATTTTATTTTCATATATTCAAATAAAACTAGGTAAAATTTGCTTATGCCCTAATAGATGTTACTAATATTTGAAATAGAAATTTTAAATGTGAAAGTCTCTTTCCAAATATAGTTTTGTCATGACATTAGTTTTATATACGTGAAATTCATTAGACCATGTTAATAACTATTGTTATATTATTATCCTAAGTCTGATTAAGGAGGGGTTTTTTTGCACTTTCTGAGGATGAATAACTAAAGGTATACACAGTTGTTAGAAATCTTTGACATTGGAATAAATACCATTTTGTCAGAGGATTCATGTGTATATGAAATTGAGCATAGGGAATAAATAGGAAATTATTTTCCTTATGTGTGATATTGCTAGGCAACTCCAGCTTTCTATGTAGATTTCAAAGAAATAATGTTCTTTATTCACATTCTACATTGCTTAGTCATTAGGATGTTTCTATGATATTGAAAATTATTTCAAATTTAATGCCAACCAGCTACCTACTTTTCAGAAAATACATCAAACGAATACATAAAAAGTTATATAAAAATTGTTTACACAAAATAGAATACTGTATATACTTGATTATAAGCCGACCTGAATATCAGCCAAGGCACCTAATTTTACCACAGAAATTGCATGGAAAAACTCGGTTTATACTCAAATATATAGGCACTTAAAAAATAATAGGTTGAAAATCCTAGTGTAGAAACAATTTGGTGGGGATAGAAAATAGACTTTAAGACTACACATAGTAAAAATTCCTAATCAGTCTTCATGCTTTTTGTTCTTAGATGAATTTTCCAGAAGAAAACGTTCTAAATCAGAGGACATGGACAATGTACAGTCCAAACGCCGTCGCTATCTGGAAGAAGAATATGAAGCAGAATTTCAAGTAAAGATTACAGCCAAAGGAGACATTAACCAGAAGCTTAAAAAGGTGTTATACATTATAAGTTAAAATAAAAAATACCTAGTATCTGTTGTTGTCGATCTTAGCATTAGTCTATATTTTACTGACATTCAGGTTTGTTATAAAAGAAGTTGAAAGTGGTTGAGTTTATAAATATGTTCACAAAAAAATTTATAATTGACACCTCTTTTTAGAGAGCAGTATGAAACTCAAGTAAAGGTAATTGTTCTAAGTGTTAAATATTTAATGGTGGAATTTTAAATGTAATTTTTAGACCATTGCTCTTCCACTAAGATAGTGTAAATATTCACCCTAGTTAAAGAGATAGGGAGACAATTAATAGTGGGTTTTTTCCCTTGCCAGTGTCTCTTCTTTATTATTGGCAAGTAATAATGCTTATATGCTTGATCTTTCTGAGCTAAAATAATTATGAAATTAAGTATGTGAATGAAATTTGAAAATTTCTTGTTTATAAATTTGAAGTACCAAACCCATTGCCATCCAAGCCACAGTAGCCTGGTAAGATAACATAGAAATAATCCCATACTGTTTCAATGGCAAGTGACCGTCATCTCCTTCTCTGAGTAGTGAATGGTGGGTTATAACTGCCAACTTTTCTTTCATTTGCCTTCAAGTGCCTAAGCAGTGGATGGACCACTAGAGCTCTTTGTCTTATATATTCACTGAGTATTTAGAACAGTGTTCCTTAAATGTGATTCACAGACAACTACTGGACTTTTGCTTATTAGAAGTCAATAATGAGATAAATATAGAACTCAGTATTTTAGAAATGTCTTGTTAGAAATTTAGATGTTATTAGTGACATTCTTAGTGTATTTCACAAAAATATCAAATTGCAATAGATCAGATTATTTTTGAGCTAGTTTTTTACTCATCCTTACCCCACCGCTCACCCCAATTTTACTTTTTAAAGGAGCCTTGGTGGTGTAGTGGTTACACTGTGCTGTGCATGGTCAGCGGTTTGAAAGCACCGCAGCTCTCGGGAGAAAGACTGGACTTTCTACTACTCCCTCGGAACCCCACTGGGGGGTCATTATGAATCAGCACTGACCCAGTGGCAGTGACTTTGTTTGCTTACAGTTTGAGAATAGCTGCCCGAGTAAATGAACCCTAAGGTTCAATTCCCCTGCTGTGAGAATTTGTACCTGCACCCCAGATAGAGTGAGTCAGAATCTATATTTTAACAAATCACCCCCCTCTCCAAAAAAAAAAGAAGAGAGAGAGAGAGACCCCAAAACCAAAGCAACACACTGCCATCAATTCTGATTCCAAGTGATAGTGATTATAGGAAAGAGTGGAACTGCCTCTCTGGGTTTTATAGTTCCGAAACGAAAAGCCTCATTTATCTCCCAAGGAGCAACTGACCTTGGGACAGGGGTTCTCCACCTTCCTCAGGCCATGACCCTTTCATACAGTTCCTCATGTGGTGGTGACCCCAACCATAAAATGATTTTCGTTGCTACTTCATAACTGTCATTTTGCTACTGTTATGAATCGGGCGACCCCTGTGAAAGGGTCGTTCGACTCCCAAATGGGTTGCGAACCACAGGTTGAGGACCGCTGCCTTGGGACTAGCAGTCCAACTTGTAACCCACTGCTCCACCAGGCCACTTTAGTTCATAAAAGAAAAGGAAAAAGCTAATCAGTGTGCTTCTCCCATCTCTCCCTATGTTGTCCTTGGCGCCAGGACTGGATGGGATCACTTAGCTAGAGTCTTGGTTTCGTACTGGTATTCTAATCAAGAAACTGCTGAGTGATTTGACTTCTCAGATGGATTTTTCTATACCTTAGGATGATGTTAACATGTACATTCTGATTATATTTCGTGTAGATATGTAAATTCTCAGCAGGTGTTTGAATTAGAATGAACCAGTTCAAAGCCCTGATTAAAAGTAACATTATTACGGTTTTATCATATATAGGAATATTTTTTCTTGTATACTGAAATATCCTCTTTGCTAATAATAAAAGGAACATATGTATATTTCTTTAGGTTGTACAATGGTTGCTGGAAGAAAAATTGTGTACGCTACAGTGTGCTGTTTTTGATAAGAATTTGGCAGAATTGAAAACACGAGTGGAAAAGATTGAATGTAACAAGAGACATAAAACAGTTCTTACTGAACTACAGGTTTGTATATGGATTTGAATGATATATGTGCAGTTCCTTTTATAAACTAATTTTTTGGAATATAGTTTTGAAACTGTAAAACATGTGAATTCTAAACTTTAGAAGTAGAAGGAGCTCAGTGGAGCTTATTTACAGTAATTGCATCTCTTAGTGATCTGGAACCTCTGCAATGAGACCTTAACCAAGTCCCTTAACTTACTTTTTGTATTTGTTTGTATATCCTTTTTCTTTTTGCTTTGTAAAAGATGGCCCTTTCTAGTCAACAGATTATTAGATCTAAGAACAGAGCAGCCCTCATGGTACCGTGGTTATGCATGTGCTGGTAACCACAGTCAGCAGTTCAAAACCGCCAACTGCTCTATGGGAGAAAGACAGGCTTTCTCCTCCTGTGTTGGAAATTCACAGGGGCGGTTCTGTCTTGTCTTAAAGGGTCACTATGTGTCAGAATCAACTTCTGGCTTTCAGAAGTGGCCAGTAGTGGCTGAGCCAGCTGTGGGTAAATAAGGATTGAGAGAAAGGCCTATGCTGGCAGCTGAGGTCTGGACTGGTTAGGGAAGGGAGCTACAATGTCTTCAAGATATAGTTGGCTTGTGGAGTGGGCTTTATTATTGTGCAATCTCAATTAGTGTCCACTGTTTTACCTTTCTAGTTTCTAATATCTATTGCAATGGCTTCTCAAAAACTGAAAGATAAAATACATGATTAAAGAGTTTATTAAGGAGGCTACCAAATTGTACTGTGAGTGAGAAATGCTCAAGGTAGTTGTTACAAAGTTGAAGGTCTGCTAATAAATGTCCACAAATTCTGTAAGCCTTACCTGAAGGCATTTGAATCAAGCTCTGAGGGTTTGCAGATCCAGCTCCTTGAATTGAGTGTCCAGGGGCATCCACTCCAGGAAGCCTCAGCCCAAAGGCACTCAGCAGCACTTTCTGGGTCACCAAGCCCAGAGGCACCCAACTCCACAATCCAGCCTCTTGCACGAAAGCACTCATCTTAATTTGTTCTGTCGGTTGGGAAGTCCATCACTGTTCCATGCTCTGGCTCCTGGCTCTGCTGCTGCTTCTCTGGTGGTATAGCTGTCAACTGGATCCAGAAGGTTCATTTCACAGGAATCTTGGGACCAGAGAACACACTTCTGGCTCTTGCTGGTAGTGAGATCCCTTTTAACATGCTTCTCAGAGAGTTCCTTTCATTCACAGCAGGATGATATTCCAGAAAATCATGTTTCTAATTCTTTTTCATTTATGCCAAGGCATGGAGTTGCTGGCTAATATGGTATACCTGTATAACTTAGTGAGAAACGATCAAACTTTCTTCCATAGTGCCTACACCATTTTATATTTTCCACCAGCAATGTATGACGATTATAATTTTCATGTCCTTGACAACGCTTGGTATTTTATTTCTTTATTTTTTTTTAACAATAGCCATTCAAGTGGGTGTGAAGCAGTATCACATTGTTGCTTTCATTTGCATTTTTAATAGGCATATAATGATGAGTATCTTCTCATGTGCCTGTTGACCACTTGTATTCGAGGGGGCATCCAAAAAAAAAACTGGAATTGCACTGGGCAGAGCAGAGCACAGCTTTCATAGTCCGCTAGATGAGCATCAAGCAACGCCCTCTGAATTAGTGCACCCAGTGCTGTCCCCTGGGAAGGTTGTCTCTGCCTACATTGATTTTTTTTTCCCCCCCGTGAAAGCAGTTTTGTTTAAACATCGTTTTTTTGTGATGGCCCATTTAAGAGAACAGTGTGCAGCTGTGAAATTTCCTGCTGGGGGAAAATGCTGCAGTGACTATTGTGATGTTAAATACAGCTTACAAGGACAGTGCTATGGGAAAAACTTCAGTACACGAGTGATTTTCTCATTTCAAAAGGTGAAATGTTGATTGATGACAAACCTTGTTCTGGATGTCCGTCAACTTCCCAAATGGACGAAAAGGTCAGCAGTGTCAGTGCACTTGTGCTCAAAGATTGAGGAATGGACCAATGCGGAGATGGGGAAGGTATCTGGACTATCTTGGAGCTCGGTTCATGTATTTGTAATGGAAGATTTTGGAATGAGGGTCGCTGTGAAATTTGTGCCTCAGGTTCTGACTGACCACGAGAAAGATTGTTGAGTGGAAACATGGCATGATTTGAAAGAACAGCTCCAAAACAACCCACACTTTTTCCCCAAGGTCATTACTGGTGACAGGCATGGTTCTCTTATTCTCAGGACCTTGAAAGCAAACATCAATCAAGCCAGTGGAAAAGGCCATGATCACCTTGCCCAAAATAACCTTGTCAAGTGAAATCAAAAGATCAAGATGATGCTCATTTGTTTTTTTGATGTGAGGGGGATAGTGCATTTGGAGTTCATTCCGCCAGGCCTGATTTGTGACGCAAGAGGGTCTGGCTTTGCCACCATGACAGTGCACCTGCTCCCACAGCCATCTCAGTGCACCAGTTTTTTGGCACATAGCAGCATGCCTCTCTTGCCCCATGCACCTTACTCACTTGACCTTGCTCCGTGAGACTTCTTTTTGTTTTTGCAAATGATGAGGGACATGAAAGGACAGTGATTTGACGATGTACAAAAGGGGAAGGAAAAAAACCAGGGACATGTTGTCAGCCATCCAAACTGATAGGATTGTTTTGTTAAAAAAATTTAAATGCATAGCTTTGAAAATAAAATTCTGTTTTTGCGGGGAATACCCTTGTATCTTCTTTGGAAAATATGTCTATATAAATTCTTTACCTATTTTAAATTGAATTATCTTTTTAATGTTGAATTGTAAGAGTTCTCTATATATTTTGGATTCTAGGCCTTTTTTAGATATATAATTTGCACATATTTTTCCTGGCTGTAATGTTTTTGTTACTTTCTTGAAAGTGTCCTTTGATCATCTAAGTTTAAAATTTTTATAGAAGTCCATTTTACCTTTTTCTTATTACCCGCACTTTTGGTATTATATCTAAGAATCATTTGCCAAACCAATGGTCAAACATTTCCTTCAGTGAGTTTCATGGATTTAACTTTTACATTTAAATCGTTGGCCCATTTTGAATTAGCTTTACTTATGTGAGATAGCCATTCACTACCTAATAATAAGGTCAGCTTATACCAGCAGCTTTTCTACACAAAAACAATTATAAAATAGGAAAAAATATTTTACATATAGCAGTTACTTTTAATATTAGGTACATAAGAATATTCTACCTTCCCACAAAAGAGAAATTTCAAGACTATTCTGAAGAAAATTTGAGAAGGAAAAAGCTGCTAACAAAGCGATACTGTGTGTGCCTTGATAGGAGGACTTGTTCTTCTTTCTCAGTTACTGGTTTAATTTTTCATGTGAGAATTCATTTTTAAAAGGATTGCAAGCCTACAGAAGATTATAAAGTGATTGATTACCGACCATATTAATGATTTACATATATTGTGAAGGAGTTCTTTGGTGGTACAAAAAAAAAAGTGTTTAACCAAAAAATTAGAAATTCAAGTCCACCCAGTGGCACTTTGGAGCCACAACTGAGAAAGCAGCCGCTGAAAACCCCATGACGCACAGTTGTACTGGGGCACCTGGGGCGGGCGTCCAAATAAGAGCTGACTGGACGGTAACCGGTGGCTCTGTGTATCTCTTCATATGATTCCCTTTGAAAGAAACCTTGGAAGTTAAGTAATAATTTTTTTAATTGGGCAAAAGGAACTTTCTGGCAAAGTGGGTCATTCTGTTTTCAGAAGTTTGCTTGACTATGACGAAAAATGTTGAATGCACGCAGCAGTCACAGTAAATCAAACCTGAGGGTTACATGTGTGCTTTTGTTTCAGACAGACAGGAAATAGCATATTCATGTGTTGGTGTGATAGTTTTTCTTTCATTGTCCTCACCTCCTTTTTTTCTCTTGCCTTATTCTTTTTCCTTTAAATATGTTTTTGAATGTTTGGGGAGTATATGTAGCTGGGCAGTTTATATAAGGTGTGCAAGTGATAAAGAAAAAAGTTTGAAAATATACTACATTTTACTAACAAATGTTGACATTACTAATAAGGTAACATTTTTAACATTTTTAAAGAGTCACAGAATATGTAATGAATTAATTCAAAGAGTAATATGAGTATTTATTTATACTGCTCTTGAAAGTATAAATGTGGCAAAGCCTTTGGAAAAAATTTAGGCAAGAATGTTAAAAATGTATTGTATCCCAGGAATCCATTTCTAGGAATGTGCCCTAGAGACGTAACCTGAACCAAGGACAAAGGTTACAGTTGATTCACAACAGTGGGGTATTGAACAGCAGTCTCCCTTTTCAGTATTAATATTTATGTAGCTAAAATACTATTGAAGGGATCTTTTATGACTTAGATAAGTTGATTATATAAATCTCAGTAAAAAAGTATTAGTCCAGCTGTTTAAAAATTAGCATATGACCATATATAATCAGAAATATACTAGAGTGTGAGCAAACACCCACAGTTTTAGAGGAAGAGTTAACCTTCAGTTAGTAGTGTTCACCACTATGTATTGGCATCTGGATCATTTTAGATTTTATTATGATTCCATATATCAAATTATGATTCCACATTTTCCAAATATATGCACCAATTGTAATTTACCTTACTATAATCTGACATTTAACATTTACAGTAGTAAAAAAATCTGACTATATTGCACTTTACAGACATTTATTTGGTGGTAACCAACAGATGTAATGAGAGTTACCGTTGTCTTTCACAGTAGTAGCATGTCTTAACTTGGTTGGACCCCCCTATTCACAGTGATTTGGCAATTATAGAAGGAAGTAGTTTGGCAGTTAATGCAATGATATAGCCCTCCATTTTGTTATCTAGTGTGATCATCCTCTATTTCCAAATAATACCAATTTTTGCACATTGACCTCTTTGGAATTTAATTAGGTCAATATGTGAGGAATGGGCCTTTATAAAACCGAAGAAATCTACGCTCGTGTAATGCAGAAACCCGTCAAAGAAAAATGAAAATATTTTTCACTAAGAGCTAGAAAAGTGCTAAGATAGTACACTGTCAATGGTGGAAAACTTGTGAGACCCAGAAAAACAAAGGATTCCCATTGAGTTTGAGTTCCTAAGTTTCACCCTAATATTGTTATATGTAGTTTTCTAGTTACATATGCATGATTTCCTTTGCAATACTCAATATGCCACTTAATTTATTGTTTCTTTTCTTTAAGGCCAAGATAGCCAGGTTAACTAAACGGTTTGGAGCAGCCAAAGAAGATCTTAAGAAAAGACAAGAAGTAAGAATTTCCATTTGAGCACAATCAGTATTGAATGCAAAGTGGTAATCTTAGGAAACCCATAGTGTTTTAGTGTTCCACTCCCAGTTGTACTCTTGTTCTCTTCTTTGTAGTTCTCTACTGTGCTGTAAGTTAAATGAATAGGTAGCCATTAATTAGATTGTGTAACTTTATTGCTTCAAACATTTCAATCATTTTGAATGTAGAATTAAGTCCAAACACCATAGTGTAGCATAAACTGAGTCTTAAAGTCTGGTATTTGCTGCTTGTCTTTCTATTCTGTAATACATACTTTTAACATAGCACTTAGTATATTACATTATAAGGAGCCCTGTTGACACTGGGATGCATGATAGACTGCAAGGTCTTTGGTTCAAACCCAGTAGCTGCTCCATGGGAGAAAGTGGAGGCCATCTGGTCTCTTAAAGATTTACGATCTTAGAAACCCTATATAGGTTCATTAAAAGTTGTCATTGACTCCATGGCAATGGATTTGGTTATTTTTAAAAATTGCATCATGGTATGTTATTTGTTTGGATTTTTCATTTTCATTTTTGTGAAAGTTACATAATAGCTTATGGACTGACACATGCATGACCTTGCTAATCACCTTTTGCTAATCGTTAGTAAATATGAATTATAGCTGTAAGGTTTTTTAGCCTTGATGCACTTTCATATCTTTGTCTTTTTAAAAAATATATTTTGAAATAATGTTAGATTCATAGGTAGTAGTAAGAATAGTTTATAGAGTCTTATGAACTCTTTCCCCAATTGCTATCTTAGAAGTAAAGTATAATATCAGTACTAAGAGTTTAGCACTGTTAACCTAAAAATACAAACAACCCTCCTCCCTAAACTATTACAACCTACTTCCATGGTGCAATTAAAATTTTAGTTGTAAGTTTTCAGCTATTTCTTTGTTATAATAAGAGCTATTCTCTCTCTATATATATAAGTTTTGTATTTACTTATCTTATTTGAAATATTTTCATTCACTTTATACAGCATGAATTTCCATTTTCTTTATCCTTTTGACTGTGCTGATTAACATGCTGCCCATCGTGTCCTCTTTCCAAGTTTTGTGTCAACAACTAATTTCAAGTTCTTGCTTAATTAAAGGAGATAAGTGCTTTAAGAAATCAAGATAGAGCTACTGCAATCCCTCAAAAGTTTTCATTTTAAAGAGCTGCAAGTACTTTTGAAACAAGGAACAAATAATATTGCAATTTCTAAGTGTAGTAAAAGATTTTTTTTTTAATTAGGAAGGTAAGGTGCTTGAAATGTTAAGTTGTTTTGACTCTAGTAAGATTTGTACATTCTTTCATGAACTTATGGGCCAAGTCCATTGTAATCAGCAAGGCTGGGACATCTTTTCTTCGGATTCTTGTTACTTTTCCTCTCCTATCCAAGATAGTCACGGTATCTAGAAGTTTCCAGAGTTTTGTTACTATATTAATTCTTAAAATGTTAACATATACATTATAGATTTATTTACTTGGTATATAATGGGGCTTCTAAAGTTTTTCAATGAACTTTTTGAAGCCTCTCAATTTTGTTTTTATTGCCTTTTAATACTTTGCCTTATCCTTCATTGTTATTTATGATACTTTAATCTTAAACTTTAATTTGTTTGACCTCATCTCTTTCTCTCAGATTGCAATATCCACAATCATTCTATATTTTTCTTTTTAAATACAAGAGAAAGAGAAGAGGACATTTAGCACTTTAGTTCTCCAAGTTATCAGAGAAAATAACAAATAAGACCTTTAAGTACCTTTTCCTGTTTAAATGTACTCCTTGACCCCCTACTACTAACTAACTGCAAATAAGCTGCTTCACTGTTCAGGTTTGTCACGTGAGATTTTCTATTTTATTTATCGAATTGTCCCTTAATGGTTTTGTTTTTTAAACTATTATCAATTGAATAAAATTTACGTAATATGTGAATTGGTTAACAGTTTACAAAGCAAAGCAGTATTCCATTCAATTCTTAGAGTTTACTTCATGTCATTGTTGGAAATACCTACAAGATGTACCACTGACACCACTTGCTGCCTATGTTTTCTGTTTTCATCTTTTCCCCCCTAACTTTTCTGAATTTTGTCCATGAGTAAATTCTGCCTTTTTGATCTTAAATGAATGATTGTCTAAGGAGTTCATACCATACCGCTCTAGTGTTACTGCTCACTTTTTTATACTCACTGTTTAGGAGTGGTGCTGTGATTTAAGCATTTGGTTGCTAACATTTAAGCTAACAGTTAATTGCTAACATTTAGGCATTTGGTTGCTAATTTAGTGGTGCTGTGATTTAAGCATTTGGTTGCTAACAAGGTTGGCAAATCAAACCCACCAGCTGTTCCACAGGTGAAAGGTTTGAGCCATTTGTTCTCATAAAGATTTACACTCTTGGAAACCTTAAGGGTCAATTCTATTCTGCCCTGTAGGGTCAGAATTAACTTGATAGTAGAGGACTTGGGTTTGGTTATTGCTTGATTGATATTTGAGCAATGAGTGTGAATACATTTCCAAACCTGAAGGGTGATTAAGAACCCATAGCCCCAGGGGTTTCACCAGTCGCTGTCCAACTAGTAAGCCTAATCTTTTTTTATGATTTTAAGTTTTATTCTTCATTTTTCTCCCGCTCAATTTTATGCCCTTCTAATGTGTTCCCTTTCTGAGCCATTGGTAGTAGGAGCAGGAACATCTAGGTTTTCTGGTGTAGAGTTGTGGAGAATGATGGTTGCGTCCCTTGGATCTACTCTTTCCAAGTGTCTTTAGTTTTCTCTATTCCGCTTTTCTCCTGATGAGAGATTAATAGCTGCATCTTAGATGATCGGTCATGAGCTTTTAAAACCCCAATTGGTTCTTTTTTCTATTGTTTCTTATAAATTACATCATGGCACTTCATCGTGGTGTTCCCCAATCAAGACTATGACCCTGAGTGCCCAGGCCCAGTGACTCTAGCTCACAAGGAATTTGATTATGCCTGAGACATTTTCATAACTTCGCTCTTTGTGTGCTCTACCACATTCATGATTCTATTTGCTGCATAGATGAAAACACATGTAGGCATACCGTCTGTCAAACCCACTTGCTTATGTACCGTGGGAATGACTCTACTTTCCCTACCACACCTGTAACATTTTCTATTTTAATTTCTAAAAGAATAGAAAACTGTAAGCAGTTTGCTTCTAACGCCACATTCAATATCTAACCTGTTCAACTGCCTTATGACTGATATCTCTCGCTTTTGTTCTCACTAGTTCATACCTCATAATTGTCAAGAATTTGCTCACATTTATCCTATGTTTATGAAAATCAGTCACCTAACTGATTCCTATTTAAATCTTAGATTAAAACTAAATTGTGCACTGTAGTTTGTTCAGGTCCTTTGTAAATTTACTCCATGTCCTATCAAAGCCTTGCTGCTTTCTTTATTCTCTATGCGTTTACTTCGTTTCCCCTCTGAACCTTGCCGAGTTAACCATTTCTAGTGTAGTACTTGCTCAGACTTGCTTTTCGTTTTCCCATTGGCACCACTGTTATTTATTTACTACTTGTTTCTCATGTCATTGTGTGATGATGGGATAGCTAAATGTTAAGTCCTACCAGGGCAGATTTTTTAAAATTCTGCCTTTTGTTCCCATGTACATATACCCAGTACAATTAGTTGGTTGAAATCACTGTTTTATCTGTAAAAAGCAGCACGATCTATTTGTTGTAGAGAAAGGAAGAGTAAATCTTGATTTAGCATGTTACTCTTTCACCTGATTAAGTCTTGAATGGATTTGTTTTATTTTTCTCACTTTAAGAATTAAATAGTAGTTATTAAAAATTAAGGTGCAAATAATAGCTTTTGATATGTAGCCCTCAGAATTCCATTTTCATAGCCTTTTCCCTCTTTTTTGGGGGGGAGGGGAGGAAACGCTAAAGAAACTTGATAATGAAGCTAGAATTGTGATCTTTTAAGTACAGTTACTGATAAATATTTTTTTAAAACAAAAGTCTTAAAAACAACTTTGATTTGAGAATCTTGATTTGTGACTTTAGAACCCCACTTATTTTAATTACTGCTAGAGTGGGTTTGAAGATAAAAATATATCTCTTGTTTTGTAGACTCTGTGGTGCTAATATATTAGCTACTGTGCCTGCGGTAAGGAGTTCTGATGGTTTAATGGTTAAAGTGCTAACCAAAATGTTGGTGGTTTGAACCCACCACCAGATCCATGGAGAATAAGCTTGGTGGTCTCCTCCTGTAACAATTTCACCCTGGGAAACCCTACCTGGCAGTTCTGCTCTGTCATAGAGAGTCTATATGAGTTGGAATCAACTCTGGCCTACAGCAGTAACAATTGTCTGCTATATCGTAGGCATCTGTTAGGTACTGATTAAATGGATGAGTCTGGTTGTTTGGCACTTTAATATTGTTGATGTTTATTTAAGCCTAAAAGCATGGCAGCCCTTTTTACATCTTTATTTAGCCTTCATAAGAACACCACAACATAGGAATTTTCCCTCCTTTCACATTTTAGCAGTTTTCCTAAGTTAATTGATTTGCTTAAGATTCTACAATTAACAAGTGACAATAAAATTCTTAACTAGTCAACCTCTAAACTGCTTTAGAACAATAGCAGATTATGTATTGACAAAACTATTTACAATTTTTAATTTTAAAGTTTGCCTGTATGTAGGTTAACTTTTATTTTTACCTTGGTATTTTTTTCTTTCAGAATCCACCAAACCCACCTGTATCACCAGGAAAACCTGCAAATGATGTGAGCAGCAATAGCAATGTACCATACAGGTGAGTATTGTAAATAGTCTTTTTGTCCAATTTGAAAATAACAGATCATGATTTTGATTTTAGCTGGAAAAAAATCTTAGAATGTAATCCTATGTTTATATTTTCTTTGTAGTTATTTTATTTGTATTTATATGTTAGATAATATTGAATTTCATATTTTCTTCATTTAAGTGTTCCATTTCTTTACTTTTGGCAATTAGAAGACTTCCTTTAGTCAATGCAGATTCTTTTAAAATTATTTTAAATAAATTAATATTCTCATAAATTCAGAAATGCTTTGATCCTGATGAGGAAGATTTCTGTTTGCAGATGTTGGGACCTGTGTTCGAGTGTAAAGTAGAAATATTGAGGAATCTTCCTCTGTGATGTGATGGACTGCCAGCATTCAGAAAGGCCGTGTTACATTCACATGTTGTATAATGCCGTGAAATGCAAATACAGGCATCCTTGTTTCATTATGTTCGCCTGTGCTGCATTTTGCAGTTTTAAACAAACTGAAGGTTGTAGCAATGCTCTATTGAGCAGGTCCCTTGATGCCCTTTTTCCAGCAGAGCTCTCGCTTCAGGTCTTTGTGTCACACTTTGGCAATGTTCACAGTATTTTATTTTATTTTTAAATCATTTTTGGGGGGGGGGGGGCTCGTACAGCTCTTACCACAATCCATACATACACCTGTTTGTGTCCAGCACATTTGTACATATGTCAACATCTTCATTTTCAAAACATTTTCTGTTTGAGCCCTTGATATCAGCTCCTCTTTCCCCACCTCCCCACCCTTCCTTCCTCATGTACCCTTGATAATTTATACGTTTTCCCCCCATGTCTCACACCATGTGCTGTCTCACTTCACCCACTTTTCTGTTGTCCATCCCCCTAGGAAGGTGTTATACATAGAACCCCCTTTCTCCCCCAACCTTCCCCTTAGCCTCTTGTTATCTCTATTCTCATTATTGGCCCTGAGGGGCTTATCTGTCCTGGATTCCCTGTGTTGTGAGCTCTTCTTATCTGTACCAGTGCACCCACTTTTCTGTTGTCCATCCCCCTAGGAAG